AGAGGAGGATGAAGAGGAGGAGGAGGAGAAGGAGTGGAACCATGTGGGGCGGGAGCTGGACAGCCACATGGGTGGGCTCACCGAGCTGGGGCGTGGACAGGCCTGGGAGGTCTTCTGATAAGCTTCATGGGGGGAAGCCGGTGCCTCCCTCCCCAGCCAGGGACCAGGGGGGAGGGCTCATTTTCCCTTTCTCCACTAGATGACGGAGTAAATGTCACACAGCTCCAGAAAGGAAGCCCTGGTTAGCCGGTCCCATTATCACCTGGCCATTGGGAAACATGAACCTGCATGAGGTCACTACCGGCTCCGCTTTCACCTCTGCCAGCCTGGCCCTAAGGTGCCCAGAACAGGAGTGCTGGAGGGAGGGGTGCTGCTAGGTGGAGGGTCCCAGGTGCTGCTTTCAAGCCGGACAGGCCACCCCGACCAACCAGAGGCCATCTCCAGCGGGACTCCAGCTGCAGCTGCAGCAGGGAAGGGAAGGAAGCACTGGGCAAGTCACATGAGCACTGCAGACGCCCGTGGCAAACCTCCACCCACCACCCCACACGCCTCCCCCTCCTCCTCCTTCTAGAAGGAAAGGGGGCCAACCTGTGACCATCTCTTGAGCTCCCCATTCCCAAGGAGGCCTCCAGGAATCCCATTCCTCTTGCTATGAGGGGTGCCTTTCACCCACGCTGAACTTGAACACCAGCCCCCAGCCTCCCAGCTGCAGCCCACGGAGAGGGTGGAAAACCCACTCCAGCCCTGTGCCACCAGATCAGCAGCCTGGAAAAGTGGGGAGCGGGCCCGCATGGGCTAGCCTTGGACAGACTTCTCATCTGCAAAGGCAGGTCGGTGGGAGGCCCTGTGCCAGACCACCAGCGAGAGGGCTCAGGTCCCCAAGGCCAGAAGACTTCTCCCGCAGGACAAAGGGAGGCTGATGGGCCTCGAAGCCCCCTGCCCTGACTGCAGATTAACTCACTTCATCCCCCACCTGGGCACAAATGCACCAGATCTGAGACTCAACACTCCAGGTTCCATGCTGCCTCTGTGGTTATTTTCCACCCCCATCCTGGGGTCAGGTCTGCTCTAGAACTGAGGTGTCCTGGATTTGGTGAGCGATAGGGTATGGATATGATGCTGGACCCCGGCGCCTGGTCTGGTGGTGCCCTACAGGGGTGAAGTCACACAGGTGGTGTGCACCCCCACGCCCCTGTGGGCGGGGTGTCCTGATCAACCATCACCTCAGAGCTGTGCAAAATCTGGGGGCTTTGGCCACCCAGGTGGGCATGTCTACAGCCTTTTCCAGCCTTACCTGTGGCCTCCCTGCCTCCACTGCAGGAAGCATGCTCCTTCCTGTTCCTTGAACATGCCACCTTGTCCTCTGCCACCGAACTCCCACTGCGCAGCACCTGGCTGACTCCTGTGAGCTCTTATCATATGTCCCTGCCCCGCCTGTGCCCTGCCCGGGCTCAGGGACACACCAGCCTGCTTCTGGCAGGAGGAAGTGCTTGCCGCTGGCTCCCGCACTCCGATGCATGGAGGCGGGGATGGGCCTGTCTTCTCCCCAGCCTTAACACCCACCTGGCCAGGCAGAATAGGTGACCGACCGGTCACAGGTCACCAAGTCACTGAGGCGGCAAAGATCAGTAGCAGGCACGCATGTTGCCACCTATGTGGCTGGGAGAACACGTTCCAGAGAGCACGTCCCCACGACCCAGGGTCAGAGCAAGCTGGAGGTGGGGGGTGGGGCAGGAGGGCAGCCCAGCTGTCCTGGGACCCCTCGGGGTGCCCTTTGCCTCACCCCGAAAGGCGGGCGCTGTCACCTGCACTGCACAGGCTGCAAGTCAGTTTACAGGGGTCTGGTGCCGGGCTTCTCACTGGGTGCCTCGCTTCCCCCACCAGGCCAGGCTGTTCCCCCTGCTCCCCACCCCACACACACCATGAGTTTCTAGGACTCCCTGGTTCAGACAATTCAGGGCTTGCCTGACCTTAGTCTCCAACGCGAGGCTGAGATCAGCCCCCCAGCAGCCAGACCTGCAGGCAGCTCAGGGATCCAGGATGAACGAGAGGACATGCGCAGCCAAGCGGGTGCTCCCCAGCACTTTTCTTAGGCCTTTGAGCTGACAGTCTAGGCTCCCAGGAACACACTAGCATCGCTGTGACCTAGTGGCCGTTCACCACCGATCAGCTTCATGTGTTCTCTCTGGAGCTCAGGAGGGTGGAGGAAGAACCCATCCTGTCACACACCTGCTTAACTGTCCCTGAGCTCTCCTTGAAAAGGCCCTTCTGGCTCCTGTGAACCAGGCGATCTGCACACAGCCCCTGCTCCTGCAGACAGAAATCACTGGAACACACATCAAGAGTCTGGGGTACAGGGGGAGGGCACCAGGCCCAGGGGGACAGGGGAGCGGTGGCCACAAGGCAGCATGGACCCTATGGCGCAGCCAGGGGCTCAGGCTGGGCCTCAGTGGCTTCTGGCAGGACTGGGGTGCTCCTCTTACAGGCAGTATTCCTGATGACTCTCTCTGAGCCTCCTCCCCCTTGCCTCCCCCCATTCCCCATTGCACTTCACAGATAGAAAACAAGGCACAGAGAAGCCTGGGGACCCCCTCCCTCTTCCCCCTCTCCCGGCCTGGGCGGGTGACTTCTACCTGCCAAACCAGTTTCTAGAAGGAAAGTGTAGCTGGTGCCAGAGAAAACCACCAGCCTTAGGTCTCCCCAAAGCTCAGTCACCGTCCTCACTGCCCCAAAGCTCAGGTGGAGGGAGACATGTCCTTCACTCCCCAGACACGCTCTGGGTGGGCGACCCCTACACGCTCTCCAGGACTCTGGGCAGAGCCAGCTATGAGTCACTGCAGGGGAAGGAAAGGAGAGAAGGAGGGGAGGAAAGGAGGGGGCTGTGCCACTGTCATGTGCTTGGATCACAAGTTCCCAAGTTCCTCTCGAAATCTCCACAGAGCTCAGCTGTGCCGGGGAGCACAGCAGCGTTGGCTGCGACCACAGATCTGCCCCAAGCTGCTGATCAGCCCCCCCTGGCACCGTGTGCCCAGCCTGGAAGCGCTGAAGCCCCCCCTTCGCTCTCCATTTCCACCTAGGTCCCCCCAAAGCCTCACCTGCTCTGGCTATCTGACCCCCACAGGTGGTAGATCCCCCAGCCCTCTGGAGTACACACCGTAGGGAGGATTAAATGGAGGGTACCCACACAGGTTCCCAATCTCCGCCTCCACTGAGAAGCTTGGGGAGGACCCTGCCTCTCGATTCATACCCCTCAGTCACCCAACCCAGGACCTTGGCTGGGGTCACGCTGCCCAGCAGGTCCCAGGTGGATCTTCCATTACCCATCCTTCTGGGCCCTCAGCTCAGATGCCACCCCTGTGCCATCAGGGGTTCACAGAGCTACCCCCCAACTCTCCTATTCTCCCTGCAGTGCCCCCCCCAACCCTCCTAGCCTCCCAGCTGCGTCCTGACCAGCCAGCCTGCAGTGATAGCAAGCATTCCTCACCCTAGGCTGACCTGCTCTGTTGTTTGAAGTCTGGGACCTGGCTGGCTCCCAATGAATACCCAGAGTCTACACTCACCACCATGTTTTTCACAGCCACTAGCCAGATCCCTCCTGTCAAAGCCACGGATTCCTCCGATGCCCACTGAGGCCACTGTGCTTCCAGGTCCTAGGGCCAGCAGACCAACCAGTGGAAGCCCACAGGCTTGCTCCAACACTGAGGCAGGCTAGCTGCATACAGTGTCGTTCCCCCTCCCCCCCAATCTTCCCTGAGGCCCACTCACTCGGCAGCATCCCTCCCTACTCCAAGCTGGCCCAACCTCCAGAGGACCCCAAACCCACAGACTGCTTCCCTCCCAATTCCCAGACAGCACCAAGCTCCGATATGCCCCCCCCTCCACACCTTCTATTCAGCACCTCCAACACCAGGCCTTATACAGCCCCCACCCTTCCCAGGGAGGAAAAAAGGTCCTTGCATGGCCACCTGCCAAAGACCCTCAGCCTGTGGACAGTGAACACTTGATACATGTTTCCCTTTTTTTGGGGGGGGGTGGTGGTGGTGGTGGTGGTGGTAGTGGAGGGAGAGGAGTTGGGTTTTGTTGGGGGGGGTATTGGGGATGAAACCTACAGCCCCCTATATTCAAGGTTCTACCACCTAAGCCACGCCCACAGTCCTTTCCTTGTTTTTGAGATGGAATGTCCTTAACTTTGCCTGGACTGGCCTCCACCTACTAATCCTGTCTCTGGCCTCCAGGATAGCTGGGATCACAGGTGGGCATCACCCCACCTCTGGCCGTAGTGGCTTTTCTCCTTAATCCCAAGCCCTGACACTGGCCGGGACCATTTCTGCTTCTTTCTCTGGGGGCTGCCTTCCTTTTCGTCCCTCTCCGACCCCACACTTTTCTCATTCCTTTACGGACACCGGCAAGGGTTGACTCCTCTTTTCCTCCTTCCAGTCGAGGAAAGCCATCGCATGATCGGCATGGCCGCCCGGGCCCCGAGCTTTGCAGAGCACCCGCTTAATCTCGTGCCATTCCCCACGGGCTCCTCCAACTCCTCCAACCGCCCTTTCCGGCCCGTGCTGACCCATTCTTAGCCCCTGGGCCGCTCTGCTCTTTCTTTATTGGGGGGGGGGCCGGGGAGGAGGAGGGCTGGGGGAGGTACTGGCGGGGGGGGGGGAACCCCCCCAAAGCTAGCTGCCATCCTCTCAAACCTTACAAGATGTCCAACTTTTCATTTCCCAGCGTTTTGAAAATCCAGAAACGCTCGGGCCGGCGTCACGGGTCGGGAGGGAGACCAGAAACCCAAGACTTTTTTTTTCCACCTTCCCAACGCCAAAGCCCTCCGAGCTCCGGCTCTCAGCCATCCCATCGGGTGATTCAAGTGACGGGAGCGCACCCCCCCGCCCCGGCCCGGGGTCCGACCCTGCCCGGACCCCCCCCACCCCGAGGTCCGACCCTGCCCGGACCCCCCCCACCCCGAGCCCCTCGGATCGCCCCCCCCACACCGCCGTAGCTACCGTGTCTCCAGGGGTCTTTGGGCTCCACAGCTCCGGACACAATATCCTCGTCCGACGGGAACGTGACGCGCTTGGCCGCTGTCTTGAGGCGGCCGTCGGCGGGGGGCGAGGCCGGACTAGAGGACCCGGCCTCGGCGGAGGCCTCCTCGGCGTCGGCGTCCGCGTCGGCATCGGCGTCGGCGCCCGGCCCGGGCGGCGCCTCCTGCGGCGGGATTTCCATAGCCGCCGCCGCCGCCTGCTCACGGGGGCCCCGGGGACATGCCCCGGGCCCCGGACTCGTTTCTCCGGGCCCGCCCGCCGTCCCGGGGCATGGGCTCCGCAGCTGCCTCAGGCGCCGCCTGCGTCCGTTCTCCGCGTCGTCGCCGGGAGCCCCAGCGCGCCTCCGCCGCGTCCCGAGCGCACCTGCTCATCCGCAGACGCACTTTCGCGAAAAGGCCGCAGGGCCCGCGGCGTGGGAAGAAAGGGGGGACGTGTATTCCGCTTCTTTGAGGACACGATCGTCTCGCGGGCGCTACGGAAGAGCGGGGCCGCGGGCGAGAGGAAAAGCCACGACACCAGAGAAACGTGAGTAGCGAATCTGCGGCGCCGGAACTGCAGAAAATGAGGGGCGGGCCCAGCTGGACGCCGTCTCCCCGGACAGCGCGCACGCGCGGACCCGAGCCGCTCCGCCTCCGTCCAGGCTCCGCCTCCGTCCAGGCTCCGCCTCCCGCACTTTCGTCACGACAGGTTGCCAGCGATCCAAAGGCCTGGGAGCCGGAACAACCGAGGAGAAAGGGGGGGTGGGGGGGAAACAAGGGGTTGCGGGATGCGGAAGGACAAAGGGACCGGCGCTGCTGTGCCGTGTGAGGACGCACAGCGGACAGGGAGGGATTTTCCGTCTGGAAGCGGAGCCTCTGGCCCCTTGTTTATTCTCTGGCCTCATTGGCAGAAGGGATTTCGTCATTGGCTGTCAGGAATGTGGCAGCATTGCTTGAAATACTGCAGCAGGGTTACACTATCGAGACCCGGCTGGACGTCGTGGTGCACGTTGCAACCCCCCCAACTGGAAAAGTTGAGGCAGGAGGCTCACAGGTTCCAGGCAGGCCTGTGCGGCGCAGAGCTGGGTCGGGGGCAGCCTCGGCCACCTAACGAGACGCTGCCTCCACGTAAACACGGAAGAGCTGAGGCTGTAGCTCGGTGGCACAGCGCTTGCCCGCAAGAAACTGGCTCAGTACCTAACTGCAGCGAGAAAAACAGCTCGGCGAGCAGTGTCAAGTCCGATCGGGAAAATACAAAACACCTGGGAGAAGAAAAAGACCCAAAAGGCGAGCAGCGTGACTCCACCGGCCCGAACACCACCAGGTGGCGGAGGAGGATCACCCAGCCCGGCTGGAGTCGATGCCTTCGCTAGCCCACGATTCGCGTCGGCACTTTCGTCAAGCTGCCCCCAGCGCGCCTGCGCACGAGAGGGCGGGGGGGGGGGGGGGGGGGGCTGAAACCTCAAACCTGCGCTCGGGTACGGCCAATTCGGCTGCTGCCATGGCAACGCGAACACGGGGCGGGGCGAATTACGCCGTGAACGAGGCCACCCGGCCGCTGGGCGGGGCCTCGCCGCAGATGCTGTGAATGGACGGGCGGCGGCGGCAGCGTTCGAAGGTCCCGTTCCCCATGGCAAGGAAGGGCTTCGCCTGCATTGTGATCTTGAAGGGACTGGGAAGGGGACAGAAACTACTTGGGTTTCTTGTGGCCGGAAGGCTAAGCAAAGCGGGTGACATGGACGTGGGTCGCCCAGGTACAAATGAAGCACAGCGGCTTTGCCTGAACTACTGATCCGTGGCTTTTGTTCAATGATCGCCACCGCATCCGGTGGTCACTTGGAGGCCGGGCGATCTTAAACCCAGTATGGGCCACACCTCTGGCCTTTTGATCCCTACCCGTCCCCAAATACAACCTCCCATTTGGGGGGGATGCTAGACCTTCCCTTACCCCAGTCCCTTCCTAAATGGAGCTCCTCCATCCCTTACGACGTACACTTACATGAGAGCCAGATACAGTGGTTCACACCTGTAATCCCAGAAGATAAGGACTCTAAGGCCAGCCTGGACTACAGTGAGACCCTAGACCCAATAAATAGACATTTGTATATAAACATAGGAAAGACAGAAGTCGGATTTTCCGTGGAAAATAGCTTCTTTGGCATCAGAGGGGGAGGGGAGGGGGAGAAGAAGACTCTTCAGGGTAGGTGACCTTTTCAACCAATTCAATAAACAGCTCCCTTAGGTAGCTGGCTTCCTTCAGTGCGCTCCTTCCCACCGGGCCCGGTTCTGCAGGACCCAGTTCTGAGGTAGAATACCTTTCAGGTTCCTTCCCTTGGGACCTAAAACTCATGGCTGTGGTTTCTCTCCACTGACCCTGGAGGTGGGAACAGCGCTGGAGCTTGACTTGGAACTCAAAGAGGCAGAGACCTTCATGGGCCAAGGTCCTGGCCTGGGCCCTTTGGAGGCCTGGAATGGTGGGCTAGGCCACACAGTTAAAAGGGCAGGGCTGGGGGAAGGTTCTTCTTCAGAGCCTGAAGGTGTAAGAAATAATGTCACTGCACCGAAGCAATGCCTCAGCCTGCACACCTATGGGAGTCTGCAGCTTCGACACATAGAAGTTGGCCACGTCCAGGTCAGTGGCTCCAAAATGGGCAGCCACGAGCACGCCCTGGTGCAGGGTGAAGCTCACTGGACGGCCCACCATGGCCAGCAGGCTGCGAAGGTAGCGCTCTCGGAGTGTGGCCCGGGCTCGCTGCTCCTGGGTTTCTGGAGAGTCTTCGTTCATAGGACCTTCTTGGAGTTCAGAACCACCAGACTTTAGGGGGACCCTGCGTCCTTCAGGGGCAAATCCACGGCTGAAGCCATCAGGACCCCGGGGAAGCCGGATCACAGGCACAGGCACAGGGATGCCAGGTGGCGACTGCATTGTTCCGGGTGCTGAGTGAAGAACAGGGAAAGAAGCATAAGGAGGGAACTGGCCCAGGCCTTCCCAAGAGCCCCTGCCTGCCTGCTGCCCCCAGAGGAGTGTGGGGACTCTGCCAAGACAGGATGAGGCAAGGGGATTGGATTAAGTGGCTGTAGATTAAGAGAAACCAATCAATACTGGCCTCAAACGTTTTTTTGTTGTTGTTGTTGGGTGGCCTAGATCACAAGACCACACTAGGTAGGATTAGGGACTATTTACATTTGTTTTTTAAACCTCACCATTTTAGTCAAGTTTTGTGTCCACAGGGCCTCACTCCAGCCTAGATTCATCCTGAAATAAGAAGCAAAATGCCCAGGTCTCTAGGATTAGTACTTAGTGCTGAGAATTAAGCCAGTGGTCAAAAATTGTTCTAAGTCTCTGACACAAACAAAATGAGGGGAAGACAGTGAAGACCCTTTTTCTCTACTTAGGACAAAAAAAGGGGGGTGGCAGATTTAATCCTGTTGTCAGTAATCTTCACTTTCACAAAGTAGAAATAAAGCTAGGAGATGGCTAATCTATCCACTGAGCACTGGTTGGAGAGCTGGCCCTAGGAAGGAGGGCAGACATCTTCCAAAAGCACAAGTGAGTACTGAAAGATTCAAGAATGAAGGTATGATCTGATTAAAAGGAAAAAATATATACTAATTTAAGAAAGGCCACATAGGGTGTGTACAAGCAGGCTAGGGCAGCCTCCTATTATCCATGCTCTCAGATCAGGCCCAGAGGTCTTAATCCTTTCAGGATCCCAACCAGGGATTTCCTGCCCTTAAGGCAACAAGGAGGAAAAATATCCAAACCCATTGTCCACCAGGTGGGAATCAGAATCTGGAGCCCCCCACCCCCATCCCTTAGGTCAGTGGTGAAGGAACCAAGTTTCAGAACTCACATTAAGACAATAAGGGACTGGGGCTGGGAAGGTGGCTCAGTGGTAGAGCACTTGCCTTGCATGCATGAGACTCTGGGTTCGATTCCTCAGCACCACATAAGCAGGAAAAAAAAGCCGGAAGTGGCGCTGTGGCTCAAGCGCTACAGCGCTAGCCTTGAGCTGAAGAGCTGAGGGACAGCGCCCAGGCCCAGAGTTCAGGCCCACGACCAGACCCCCCCCCCCAAAAAAAAAAAAAGACAATAAGGGACTGTAGCTGGGAATGTGGCTTAGTGGTAGAGGATGCGCTTGCCTAGCATGCATGAAGCCTTGGGTTCAATTTGAGCACAGGGAGGCTCAAGAACAGTGCCCAGGTCCTGAGTTCAAGCCCCAGAACTGGCAACAACATCAACAAAAAAAAAGCCCACAAACAATAAGAGACTGAGAAGTGGAGATTGGGAGGTTCTCTGTTTGAGGCCAGCCTAGGCAAAGTTATTATTACTATTATTATTTTGCCAGTCCTGGAGATTAAACTCAGGACCTGGGCACTGTCCTTGAACCTCTCTGTGCTCAAGGCAAGCACTCTACCACTTGAGCCACAGCACCACTTCCAGCTTTTTCTGTTTATGTGATACTGAGGAATTGAACCCAGGGCTTTATGCATGTTAGGCAAGTGCACTCTACCACTAAGCCACATTCTGAGCCTGCAAAAAGTTATCAAGAACACTATTCTCATGGGCTGGGAAGGTGGCTCAGTGGTAGAGCGCTTGCCTTGCATGCCTGAGGCCCTGGGTTCCATTCCTCAGCACCACAGAAGCAGAAAAAAAAAGGCTGGAAGTGGCTCTGTGGCACAAGTGGTAGAGCACTCGCCTTGAGCTGAAGAGCTGAGGGACAGTGCCTAGGCCCAGAGTTCAGGCCCCACAACCGGACCAAAACAAAACAAAACAAAAGAACACTATCTCAACAAAGTGAGATGGTGCATGCCTGTCACCTTAGCTACTAGGAGAAATAGATTACTGGGCAATTGAGGCCCCAGGTCAACAGCAACAAAAACTAGAGACCCTATTTGAAAAAGGGTCTGAGATCTGGGGATGGAAGTTCAAAGCCAGCTTGGGCAGGAAAGTCCATAGGACTCATCTTGATAAACCACTAGAAAACCAGAAGTGGCACTGTGACTCAACGTGGTAGAGCACTGGCCTTGAGCAAAAAAGTTCAGGGACAGTGCCCAGGCCCAGAGTTCAAGCCCTATGACCAACCCCCCCCCCAAAAAAAAAAAAAAAAAAAGTACAAGAAAAGAAGCTGAATGGGGGGAAAAAAGTGAGTGTGTGTGTGTAAACGGTGCCAATAATCCTAGCTATTCAGGAAGCTGAGATCTGAGGAACACGGTTCAAAGTCAGGCTAATCTTGGAGACCTTTATCTCCAATGAAGCACAGAAAAACCTGAACTGGAGCTGTGGATCAAGTGATAGAACACTAGGTAGCTCTGAAGAATAAGTAAAAACTGAGGGACAGGGCTGGGAAGGTGGCTCAGTGGTAGAGCGCTTGCCTTGCATGCCTGAGGCCCTGGGTTCGATTCCCCAGCACCACATAAGCAAAAAACAAAAAAAGCAGTAAGTGGTGCTGTGGCTCAAGTGGTAGAGCGCTAGCCTTGAGCTGAAGAGCTGAGGGACAGCGCCCAGGCCCAGAGTTCAGGCCCCAGGACTGGACCCCAACAAACAAAGAAACAAAAACAAAACTGAGGGACAGCACCCAGGCCCTGAGTTCAAGCCCTAGTACTGGCACAGAAAAAGAGGAGAAAATAAACAACAAAAAAAAAAGGTGCATGGAAAACCCCTTTGTACAATGAATACATAGGCCAATAAGAGGATAGCAGTAGAGGTTTGCAGACCTAGCACTGTACAGGGAAGGAGTCGGATTGGCTCCCTAGCAACCCAGGGCTAGAAAGTTAAAAATCAAAAAGGTGAGGAGAGCTCTCCGTGCAGGAGAGCTGGCAGGTGTGCAGACCCGGGCGGGAGAGTGGGGGTCCCCCGCCCCCGCATCGCCCTCCCTTTCCCACACAAACGGAGCCCCCCCCGCCGCCCCCGCCCCCAGATCCCGGGGTCGCGGGCGGCCATTCCGCCCGGGGCCTACGACGTCCGGGGGTCACTGCCCGGAGGACGAGCGTCCGCCACCCCGCCGGCCCCAGCCCGCTCCACGGCGTGAGGCGGCCCCCCGGCCTCTGCCCGCCATCCCCGACACACAGGCCCGACGCGAGCCCGCGCTCCGCCACGCAAAGCCGGCCGGCCGGCACTCACCGCGCTCCCGCGGCGGCCCGCGGCGACCCCACTTCCGGCGGCGCCACCGAGATAGACGCCCGGGTCCGCCGCGAGCCCCCGAGCCCGGGTTCCGCCGCCCCACGTGCTCGCCGGCCGCCCTCGGGGCTGCGCGCTCAGCCCCCCCCCCCACACTCAGCCAATGGGGCGGGGGTGGGGGGGTGGGGGGGCGTCTCGGAAGCCCATTTTAGGGAGCACGAAACTGAGGCTCGGCGAGGGATTTTCCCGTCCTGGATTCCGGGCAGAGCATGGCCGTGGGACACACACACACCCCTTTTACACAATCCCACGTCTACCCCCCACTTCCAGCGACCGTGATCGTGCTTTCAAAAATCACGAAAAAAGGCTTAAAGTTAGGCAGCTCCTGATGAACCACAGGCGGTCACTTTTGTTCACCAGGCCTCCCTACACCTTGTTGTTTACAAAAGGGGAAACCGAGGCCCTGCCTGAGGAATGAGTAGATAGAGACCCTGTAGGCCCCCCCCCTTTTACTTAGTAACAGGCACTGAGATGGTCTGCTATAAAGAATGCCCAGGGAGTAGTAGTAGTTCAATAACTCTGTGTTGACTTATTCGTGAAAGACAGGAGCCAAGAGCACCAGCTGGACCCAGCTACTTGAGAGGCTGAGGCAGGAAGATTGCTGAAAGCCTGCAGTTCCAGACCAGCCAGAGTGGATTAGTGCAATCCCATGGGTAGGAAGAAAGGAAGGAAGGAAGGAAGGAAGGAAGGAAGGAAGGAAGGAAGGAAGGAAGGAAGGAGGGAGGGAGGGAGGGAAGGAAGGAAGGAAGGAAGGAAGGAAGGAAGGAAGGAAGGAAGGAAGGAAGGAAGATATTTTAGCAGGGCTAGGAAGGACAGGATGTGTCTAGATAAGCCAATAAACAAGATCTTTCAGGATTTCATAAAATGTAAAACAAAATAAAGAAGGATGATGGGATCCTAAGTTGCCCAGCTGGGGAGGGAAGCTGCAAGACCAGGTAGTCAATGTCCCCAGATTCTTTGGGATAGCTGAGGAAAGTGGGTTTGGAGAAAGAGAGAAAAAGGAGACAGATGGAGACCATCCTGTTTAATTTACAAGACCTTCAGCAGGGTGGGGCTACTTTAGATAGGCTGGCCAGGAAGGCCTTGGGCTGCAAGGAGGACAATGGAGCTAAGACTTGAATAACAATATGCAGAACTCCAGGAGATCCGCCTTGGAATTCTCTCAGCTGGGCTGGGGACACCTGGAGGAGGACAGGTCCAGGCCCTAACCTCAGGGGGCTTGCGTTGAGTGGGGGTAGGGGGACAGGACAGTCAACAGTTGTGATGCTCCGTGATAGGAAGTCCTGAAAGGATTTAAGGTGGGGCAGGGTTGTCAAGATACCACAAGCAGCAGACCAGACTGGACCAAAATGCCAAAGGGAGGGAAGTTCCTGGGGCCCAGAGTCCAGGCTGTAGGATCTCTGGCTATTTAGCTTTAGTGGGTGGCCCAGTCATAGGAGGAAGAAAAAAAAATGAGGGGCTGGGAAGGTGGTTCAGCGGTATAGTGCTTGCCCCTCAAGCATGAGGTCCTGGGTTGGATTCCTCAGCACCCCATAAATACAAAAGGCCAGAAGTGGCACTGTGGTCAAGTGGTAGAGCGCTAGCCTTGAGCTAAAGAGCTCACTAGACAAGGGCCCAGGCCTAGAGTTCAAATCCCACGACTGAAAAACTAAACTTTTGCAAATAGCCCAGAGACAAGTCTGGTCTCCAAATGACCTTCAAGTGGACCAAAGACCCTTCCAGAAGCACACACCCTACCCTCCTCTCTCCCCCACCTTAGACTCCTGATCTTTTTTTTTTTAAACTCCTTAATGGACTGACTCCCTCCCTCCCCCCCCCCACCCCCACTGCTCACCCTGCCTTTTGAGGAGAAAACTGAAACCCCGTGAAAATCAAGGTCACTCAGTCTCCCTTTCCTCCCTTTATTGTCCTCCAGGCTACTTTGTCACCACAGAAGGGGCCTCTTCCTAAACTGGCTATACTCCATCTTCTTGCCTACGGGGTCTTTTGGGGCAGAGCTCTGCGCGCCAGCGCGCGCGCGAGCACAGCCCCAGTACCTACCCTTGTAGGTGTTCAACAAACTGATGCCAAATGCAATTTTATGTTTTATTTTTGGGTATTTTTGTCTTAGCACGGAATGAATGGTGCGGGCCAGATTACCAGGCGCTGGGCATATGAACGGGCAGTCTGCCATTTCTTTTTCTTGGCAAGGTAAGGATGATAGAGAGGGATTCTTAGGTACGATCACTAAAGCCCAAAGGCAAAAGCGTTGGGAAGCCTGGGCGTCCCGCTGGGGCCCTCTACGGGACCCGCCCCGTCCACTCCCTGAAGGCCACGCCCGCCGCGGGCAGACCACGCCCAGGTGGGCGTGGCCAGTGCCTGGCCAGCACGTGTAATAAGAGTTCGCCGCGGGTCTCCGCAGCCACTCACCTGAGCTCCGGGCTCCCAGCGCGCACGGCCGCGGAGTCCTGCGTGGCCTCGGTGCCCGCGGCCTCCGCTCCAGCCCTCCGCCGCCCCAGCCTCCTTCCTCCCACCACCCCGCCTCGTCGGCCAGCCGGCGCGCAACCCATGTCCCGCCGCAAGGCCGGCAGCGCGCCCCGCCGAGTAGACCTCGCGCCCGCCGCCGCCGCCGCCGCCTCCGGCCCGGACGACGAGATGGAGACCTCGGACCTCATCATAGACGTGAAGCCCGAGCCCGAGCCGCACTTCCTGCGGGCCCTGGGGCTAGGATCCTATGTCCACAATGGGTTGTCCACGACGGAGAGGAGGAGATTCGGGGGTGAACCCCAGAAACAGTCCCCGGGTTTCAGGCCCTCCTTCCAAGCCTCGGGCTCCAGGAACCACTGGGCCGTGTGGATGCCCGTGACCGGTGAGTCCCCCGCCTCGGCCCGGGCCCGGCCCCGGCCTCCCCTCCCGGACCCGACTCGGGAGATCTCAGCCGGGGATGGGGCTCTGTCCAGGTGGTCTGTCTGTCTCTTTCCTCTCTCTCTCTCTCTCTCTCTTGCCCCGTGCTGGCCCCCCAGCAGTCCTCCCTCCGCCCGGTTCTGACTTTCGGGTTTCCCCTCTCCCTCATCCCCCCCCCCCACACACACCCAAGTCCGGCTCCACCCACGCTCACCACCCGCTTCCTCCCTCCCCGCAGACAAGCGCTGGACCGACAACCACGCTGATCTGCTGACCTGCGGCCGCTGCCTGCAGACCTTCCCGCTGGACGCCATCACGGCCTTCGTGGACCACAAGAAGCTGGGGTGTCAGCCATCGAGCGGTCCCAGCCCCAGGCAGGTGTCAGGTGAGTGACCCTTTGCACAGTCTTCCCCCCCCCCCCAACACTTCCTGCAGGAGAGAGGCTGAGGTGGACAGGCCAGCCAGGCACTGGCGGTGTGCTCAGCTCCACTTCCCCTTTCTCATTCCCCCTCCTGGTGCAGCCGAGACCGGGCCAGGACTTGCTTGCCAGTACCCCCCCCTCCCCAGGACCTGGGACTAGGGGTGAAGCTGAGGCTGGAGGAGGGGGAGCTGGCCACAGGGTGTGGCTGGCCCCAGATAGTTAAGTGGCTTGGGGATTTGTGGACACCCCCCCCCTCATACTTTCCCCATGTGGTTTCACTTCTCCTTCTCTTTGGACAGAAATAACTAACTGGCCAGGTGGCTGGACCTGTGGGGAGGGGGTGGAGGCCAGCTGGAACAGGGGTGGCCGCCCCTCCTGTCTCCTCAGGGCTGGGCCAGGCCCTTGGGACTGGTGCCGGGGCTTCTGGCTCTCCACCCTGGGGGAAATCTCTCAGGCAAATGCCGGGAAAAGCCCCAGCTCCTAGCTAGGACTCGTCCTGGACTCCTAGGGGCCTTTCTTTCCTTTGGGAAGGAATCCAAACAGGGTGGGTTCTCAGCCCCCAGGGCCTGCTCTGCTGGGCCTTGGGAAATCACGTTGTATTAGGGGCTGGACCTAGGAGGATCTTAAAGGGAGGGGGGGGGGGGGAGGAACTGTGATGGGATTAGAGTGATTGGCTGGTGGGCCAAGGCTGTGTGCTGACTGTGTAGACCCTTGGCTCTATTTCCTGCTTGGGGTCACAATGGGGAGTGGAGGGAACCGAGTACTCAGCACCCACTACCGACAGAAGCTCTTTTCCAGAAGGTTCTTGAAGCATCTGATGTTTCATTGTAGCCCTGAGCCCCCTTCATCCCAGCAGTGGAGTGTTTCCCAGGTGTCCAGCTGGTCCTGACCTGTGTCTGTCCCGCCACTAGTGCTGACCCATGCCCCTTGTTTGTTCCCTTGCAGAACGCTTGGATCTGAAGGCCCTGAGCTGTCTCCACTGTGGCCGGCAGTTCACAGAAGCCTGGAAGCTGCTTCGCCATGCGCAGTGGGACCACGGGCTGTCCATCTACCAGACGGAGCAGGAGTCCCCAGAGGCCCCTCTGCTGGGCCTGGCTGAGGTAGCTGCAGCCATGTCCACGCAGGTGGAGCGCCCAGCAGAGATCAAGTCCCCTGGCCCCAGTGGCACCGACCGGAGGACCCCCACCTGCTCAGTGTGCAAGAAGACCCTCAGCTCCTTCAGCAACCTCAAGGTGCACATGCGCTCACACACCGGTGAGCGGCCGTACGCCTGCGACCAGTGTCCCTATGCCTGCGCACAGAGCAGCAAGCTCAACCGCCACAAGAAGACGCACCGGCCCCTGCCCATCCTAGGCCCGGAGCAGGCCTCCCCTGCCCCACCTGAGCCCGCAGCCCACGCCGCTGCTCCCGCCAGCGCCCTACCAAGCCCTGGTGCCCAGGGCACAGGGGCTGCAGCCACAGCAGGCATGCAGGAGCCCGGCGCGCCCAGCAGTGGGGCCCAGGCAGGCCCTGGTGGGGATGGATGGGATCCTGTCCCCCAAGGACAGAGTGCTGACACCAACAAGAGCCAGAGTGCTGAGCCCAAGAAGATGCCCAAGGCGGTGAGCAAGGGCAAGAGGCCCCGGCCTGGGGGCAGCTGCGAGTTCTGTGGGCGTCACTTCAGCAGCAGCAGCAACCTGACGGTGCACCGACGATCGCACACCGGGGAGCGACCATACGCCTGCAGCCAGTGCCCGTACACATGCGCGCAAAGCAGCAAGCTCAACCGACACCGCCGCACGCACGGCCCCGGGCCTGACTGCGCCCGCTACGAGTGCCCGCTCTGTGCTGTGCCCTTTGGCCTGCGCGCCACGCTGGACAGGCACCTGAGGCAGAAGCACCCCAGGGTGGCCTGAGCCCGGGGGGGCCTGTCCACACTCATCCCTGCCTTGCCTTCCTGCCAATAAAAGTACTCCCCTGTCTCCCACGTGCCTGGCCTCTGGCTCTCTTGGGGTGGAAGGCGTCCCCTTTGCGGGGTGGACGGCTGGACAGACCGGTTTGGGGGGGGGAGTGAGGGGGAGGCTGGTCCCCAGTGCCTGGGGCACAGCAGGACTGGCACAGAAAGCCGCGCGCCCAGTTCTTGGGGTGGGTGAGGCCAGGGCAGGGGCCGGGCGAGGGTGGGGAGCGGCCCGGACCTGTCCCCAGAGGCCCTGGGCAGCAGGTCTGCACCCTCGTTGAATCAGGCAGTAAGTAGATACCTGGGTCTGGCCACCAGGGCACCTGCTCTTGAGGCCCCCAACATGACAGGAGGCCCAGAAAGGCATTAAATACACTTTTATTTCACTAGAGAGCAACGGCAGCTCGGCCACCCGTGACCCCGCACGCTGGGCTCTTATGCCTAGTGGCGGTAGTGCGGGCTGCGGGAGCGGGACCGGGAGCGCCTGCGGAGAGAAGGGCAGGCCTGTGAGGGTGCGCGCGCCTCAGCATGCCCGGGCCACACTCCGGTGGCAGCAGGGAGGACCAGCCCTGCCAGCTGCAGGGGTACAGGGTGAGGGAGGAGTGGGGCTGGGAGCTCATCTCCAGTAGGGATGAAGTCGGGGTGGGGATGGGGTCTGGGGTCCTCACCTCCGGGAAGAGCTGTATTCTCGACCTGCAAAGCAAAGGGGAAAGGAGGGTGGACAACAAGACCACTACACCAGGGTGGGGTCCCGAAGGCCAGGGTCCCTACAGAAATCCACCCGTGTGCTGTGGCACCTACACCCACGCCTGCACCACTCACACAACCCGCTCTGGGCCCCAAGCACTGTTAAGGCAAGCTCCTGCGGACAAGGCCCGTGGTCTGGGTGACCCTACATGAGCAGGGCTTCTCCCACAGTTGCCCAGGCGAGTCCCAAACCCCTGGGTACAGACTCTCTCTCTTTTTTTTTTTTTTCTTAGTCGTGGGGCTTGAACTCTGGGCCTGGGCGCTGTCCCTCAGCTCTTCAGCTCAAGGCGAGTACTCTACCACTTGAGCCCAGCGCCACTTCTGGTTTTCTGAGTGGTTTATTGGAGATAAGAGTCTCATGGAGTTTCCTTCTCTGGCTGGCTTTGAACTGTGATCCTCAGATCTCAGCCTCCTGAGTAGCTAGGATTACAGGCATGAGCTGCAAATCCCAGCCATTTCTGTCTTTTTTTGAGTAGTTTATTGGACGTAAGAATCTCATAGACTTTCCTGCCCAAGTTGGCATCCAACTGTGATCCTCCGATCTCAGCCTTCTGAGCAGCTAGGATGGTAGGTATGAGCCATCAGTGCCCAGATACACAGCTTAATTTTTACAAAAAAATGTTTGGCAGTTTTTGGCTTGTTCGTTCAACTGGAGCTCTAGCACTTTTGAGCCCCATCTCCAGCCCAACTATTGGCTGGTGATTCCAGAGACAGTCTGATACTCTTTTCTGCTCAAGCTGGCCTCGGACCTGACAGTCCTGCCTCAGCTTTGGTTTTCTTTTTTAACTGTATTTTTTTTGTCTTTTCTTTTTTGGTACTGGGGATTGAACCCAGGACGTTGCACTTGCTAGGCAAGCGCTTTGCCACTGAGCTACATCCCAGCCCTCAGCTTTAGTTTTCTGAACACCTTGTGGCTGGGGGGACACTCACTGTAGCGGGGCGAGGGTGAGCGGCTCTGGCGGCTGTACTGGCGTTCCCACTCTTCCCTCTCCTTCTCTCGACGCTCCCGTTCCCTGCGTGGGGAAAGGGGAGGCAACCAGGGGGCAGGGTGAGCACCTGTGTGCTTTGGGAAACATAAGGACCGCCCCCCCCAATGGCTGGCACAGCCCCCCTCCCCAGCGGCTGGCACAGGGAGGGTGAACTACTCCCTTCCATTCCCAAGCCTGGGAATGAGCAGGCCCGCAAACCAAGGCTCAGATAGGAAAAGGCCCAGTGGGGCAACCCCGACTGCTTGGCCGTTCCGCACTCTGCCTCTGCTTGTTTGCTTTAGAGACGGTCTCAGCATGTAGCTGAGCAGGCCTTGAAGTGCTCGTCCTGCCTCTACCTGCAGAGCGCGGGGGTTACAGGCGTGCTCCACACTGCTCAAACCTTCTGCACTGTCTGAGGCTGGCACACAGCACAGCCACAGTGGCCCCAGAATGGGCATGCACTAGGCAGTCGTGAGTACAGGAAGCACAGGGTGACAGGCAGCAGGCCTCCCCGCAGCCAGGGGCCACTCTGCACCCCATGGGTGGGTCCTGGGGGGGTGGAGCGGCTTCCCCTGCCTCACAGCAGGCCTGTGGGGGCTGTCCCCAGGTGAGGTGAGAATCGGGGGGTCACGGGGAGGAGGCTGCCAAGGGGTCAGGGAGAGAGCAGGGCCGGGGAGGGAGCCTTACTTCATGCGGATCTTGCGGGCCATGGCGCGCAGCTCGTCCTCCCGTTCCTGCAGCAGAGACTGGTCAGGCCAGGCCAGGCCAGGGCGCAGCCACGCCCCTCCTGTCCCCCCGGGGCTAACCTGGCGCTCGTGCTCCTGCTGAATCATCTTCTCCTGGGCCGCCTTCTTATCCGCCTTGACTATAGAGGACATGGAGGACACGGGCTGAGGGGCCTCCAGGGCTCCGCTGGCCCTCCACCCTGGACACAGCCCTATCCCTGAGGCACCGCCCAGCGGGCTCGGGACTCCCCAGGGCCAGGGTGGGACCTACACTGCCGGTTTAGTGCCTTCTGCATCCTCAGCTTCAGTTTCTCCTGCGGCGTCAGCTTGGGCTGGCGGGGAGGGAAAGAGGCAGAGAGGGGTGAGTCCCAGAGCCCCCCAAAAGCCACCTCACCAAGAGCCTGGGACTTTGGGGAAGCGGGGGAGGGGCAGATGGGACCATGGCCACAAGGCTCTGGGAGGCTCTGGGACAGCTGCGGCCGGTGTGCAGAGGTGGGGAGGGGACATGGGGAAAGGGCAAGCCTCCGTCTCCTCCCTTCTCCATCCCAGGGCGGCTCTCCCAGCTCCCCGGGCCCCCCCACAGGCCCATCGGGCCCAGCTCAGGCACTGCTGCTGGCGGGACTTAGACGGGCGAGTTCCAAATTCTTACTGACTTTGGCAGCTCCTGTCTCTTTACCAGCGGCAGGTTCAGTCCTGGGTGGAGAAGAAAACACATGCCACCTGACCCACAGCTGCAACTGGCCTCCTACCACCAAGACGCTCCAGGACCTCTGTGTCCCCACGAGCCCCAGGCTGGCCAGTGGGGAACCCCGATCCCTCAGAAGCCCGCAGTGGGGGACGGGGTGGGACACTCCACCTGAGGCTGGTGTCCTCTCTACTCACTTTTTCAGCTTCTCGCCCACAGCGGGGGACGCTGCTGGCCGGGTCAGCTTCTCCCTCGGGGGCGACGGTGAGTGGCTGCGGCTGCGGCTGCGGCTGTGGGGCTGGCTGGGGCTGTGGCTGGGGCTGCGGGTCAGGCTGCGGCTGCGGGATGGGCTGAGGGACCAGCTGCTGCGGCTGCGGCTGCTGCTGTGGTGCCGGGGGCCCCGGGCCCCCCGCCGGTAGTGGTCTCCAGAGCGGGAGCGACTCCTGGGTGGCACGGTAGAAGTAGGGTGAGGACAGTGCAGGGCCCAGGGCCCAGGTGGCCCAGGCGAGGTCTGTGCTTAGGCGGCGCAGGGAAGCGCCATGCAATTCTGCCCTGCAGGGTCAGCAGGCCAGTGCTGCCCCCGGGGCCCATTTTGGCCCTCGAGGCGGGGATGGTGGGAGTCTGCTGGGGCCTCTCCCTCGCCCCCCTCCCAGCACATCCTGGGCCCTACTAGACGCGGGACCCCACGGTACTGGGCTGGGCTGCCCACCTGCTTCTGCGGCGGGGTGCGTACCCGCCGCGCCGGGTGGGTGAGCGGGAGTAGCGGTGTCCGTCGCGGGAGCCCCCACCGGAGTGGCGCCGGCCGCGGCTGCGGGAGCGGGAGTAGCGCCGGGAACGCGATCGGGAGCGGGACCAGGAACGAGAGCGGGAGTGCGCGTGGCGGCTGGTACGGTAGTGGGCCCCACCGCGGCGGGAGCGGGAGCTGGAACGGGAGCTGGAGCGGGAGCTGGAGGTCCTCGAGGCTGAGGACGAGGAGGAGGAGGAGGAGCGGCGGCTGCGGGGCACGGAGGGGAGGGCACGGAGGGGAGGCCGTCAGCCGCTGCCCGCGCCCCCCGCCGCCCGCGCCCCCTCCCCGGGCGGCCGGCCTAGGGGTGGCGGGCGCGAGTTACCGACCGGGCGCCCGGATTGCGTCCCGGCGCGCCGGGCTGGGGGGTCGCGGGGGGCTTCCCGGGGACGGCCCCAGATGCGGCAGCTGCGGCGGCTGCCGCGGCCGCCTCCTCGTCGCTGCCCCCGAAGCTGGTGATGAAGGTGATCTTCTCCTCCCGCCCCGGGCTCGGGGAGCGTGAGCGCGAGCGGGACTCAGAGCTGGATTCCGAGGGCGACCTGCGGGAGGCGGCGGTCAGCGAGGGCCACGCACGGCCGCTCAGGGGAGCCGACCACCCCGGAGTGCCTGGAGTGCCAGGGAGCCGGCAGAGGGCAGATCCGGGGGGGAGAAAAAGGGGGAAGGTGCCGAATGCCTGGACATCACTCCTCCACAGCAAGCTGAACCCCAGTTCACCAGAAGCGGTGTGCGGAGGGGTGTGATCGAGCCTGCACCACCCCAAGTTCCTAGGACCTGGGGGCAGGGGGCGCCCTCCCAGACCTGGTGGGGCATGAGCTTCTCACGAACTAAAAATTCTAAAGTTTCTAAGTGACCCTTACTGCCACACTTGCCCAATGTACACAAAAAGGTGCATTAACTAGTTGACATAAGAAAACACTAAGCACCTGCAAGCCCACAGGCCGCCCCACCTTGTGCTACTTGTGTAGTGGGGTACCCACTCACCGTTTATAGGGGTCGTAGGTGGGGCTGTCTCGGCGGGCGTAGCTAGAGAGAGAGCGCAGGCGACAGGTGAGGGCGCACAGCTGTCCCTCTGACCCTCTCTGACCCTCGTCTACCCCACACCTGCCCGCCCAGCTCACTGAGGCCCACACAGGACCGCACTGTGTGGGCCAAGTGCTTTCTAGTGGCTCCCCGCCCCCCCACTCTGATGAGAGCCAGGCCTGAAAAGACAAATTCATTCGCTAGGCCGCTGAATGAAGGAGCAATTATCCAAACCCAGAGCACATGGCGTGGCTTGGGCCTGGGCTTTGCTGTACCCAACCTGAGCCCCAAGCCCACAGCATAAACCTCCTCTAGCACAGGTGGCAAAAAAAAAAAAAAAAAAAGATGCATGGGTTTGCCCTGGACCACAGGCCTATGAGACTCTATCCAAAGCCAGGTTGCTCTGCCCAGATCCCCGCTGATACCTGGAGGAGGGGGCGGGGGGAGAGCAGGGAAACTGGCTCAGTCCCCTTCCTGCAGGGGACAGTGCCCAGTCTGAGAGTCACCTCAGGGAGTGTTCCCCGTAAGCCATCACCTCCGGCCACTTAATGGGTGAAAGCGCGTGTATAAAGCAGCCTCCATAGTGCCTTCCTGGCCCCATGCCCACTCTCCCAAGCCTCAGTGACACCGGAGGCCCTGGAGAGAGGCCTACCTGGGCGGGCTGATCTTACGCCCCCTCAGCCGCTTCTCCCGGAACTCTCTCCGCTGGCGCCGGGAGCGACGGCCCTGCAGGGAGGCCAAGCCCATTAGGAGTGTGCCCTCCACGAGCCCCACCTCTGCCCATCACCTTCCCCAGACCTCACCGAATACATGGCTTTTTCCTCCTCCAGGGCCTTGGCGTGCTTGATGGCCTCCGCCTCCTCCTTGTCTTTCCGAAGCATCCTGCAGAGGGGAGGAAATCAATCACTGGAGATGGGACCCAGACACATTTCATGCAACTTTCAGACACCTTATGTGTACAAGTTTTAGTTTAGGTGTTAAGAATTCAGCACTAGCTGGGGGTGGGGGGTGTGTATGGCTCACACCTGTAATCCTAGCTATTCTGGAGGCTGAGATCCAGAAGATCACAGTTTGAAGCCAGCCCTGGCAGAAAAGTCCACAAGACTCAATCTCCAAAAGAACTTGGGCCTAAGAAAGGACCTGGTGCTGGAGCCCTCCACTAGAGGGTGCTGGAGCACTGGGAGTCCATTTGCCCTAGGTCACACTGAACAGGGCTGGCTGAGTAATTCTATGTAATATCGTCTTTAGCGGGGTCACAGATATTCATGGCACAGCAGTAAGTTGGCATTGGTAGTAGCAGGGTTATGGCCAGAACAAAGCCAGGGCAGATCTCACCTGACGAAGTCGCCATCGGCCATGCCGTAGGTGGTGGCTTGTTTGTTGAGATCCGCTACCTGTTCCTGGTTCAGCTCATCCACGTCCACCTCCACGTCTGCACCAACAGAAAAGCTGTCAGGGGCTAAGGCCATGGGGAGGAGGGACAGGGCAGTGCCCAGAAGCGGGATAGACAGCTGCCGGCCCAAGCAGTTGAATGTTCAAGGAGGGTCTGGGGCAGCTCTGGCTCGGCTCTGGGTAGCAACACAGTGGGTGTGCTGTGTGGTGGGGAGGGGAAGGGAAGATGGGGGGGACAGTTGGTGGACGGAGGAGGACCATGAACATGTGGGTGGGAAGGACAGATGGAAGTACAGGGCTCTGCCTTAGTGGGCACAAACAGATGCGTTGGGGGGGGGGCGCACGCCAGGATGAGGATGGAGACGGGAGGCATCTACATAATGGGCGCAGGGTGGGAGGGGAACAAGGTACTCGGGGGATGGGCCGACAGATGTGTAAGGGACAGGGGCCCTGAAAAAGGGACTTGTTTCCCAGGGGATAGAGAAAAGCAGGAAGGAGAGGCAGAAGTGACACCCGCGTGGGACCCAGAATCAGACAAATGCCCTGGAAATGGGGGGAGGGCGGACAGGGAAGAAGGGGGTGTGGCACGGAGGAGGCAGGAGGCCAAGGCCTGGGCCGTGGGAAAGGGGGAGGAACCGGGCTCCTCAGTGAGGGGTGCCCCACAGAGGGTGAGGGTCGAGACACAAGAACGATGCCCAGGGACTGTGGGTGGGAAGGGCAGAGAGGGGACCCCACCGATGTCGGGGATGACCTCATCTTCATCCGAGTTGCTCTCCTCCTCAGCCGGGGACTCCTCCTCCTCCGGCTTCTCAGCCACCTTCTCCACCTCAGCCACCGTGCTGTCCTCGTACGTGTAGCCGATAGAAGCCTTCTTCTCTGCCAGCCTGGGATGGGAGCGGGCTGGCTGGGGTGGGTGCTCCCGCAGAGGGGAGGGACCCTCCTGCCCACCCACCAGCACCGCTCTGCGCTGTCCTGGGCTCCTGGCCCCGCCCACACTGGTCACTGCTGCCAGGATGCAGTCTGCCTGCTTGAGCACCAGTCCCACAAACACAGAGTCCCAAGTTACACTGGGCAAAGATGTGGCCCAGCTCTGCTCCCAGGAGCTTTGGGGGGCCTTTGCTGAATTCATTTGTCAGCCAGTGCCGCGCCGCCTCTGGGAGCGTGACCCAGTGCCTAGCAGAACCGACAGGAAGGAGTGCACGAAGCTGACACCCAGGTCACCACGGCCACCCCTGGGGGACACAGCTTTCTAGAGTGCCCTGGCCACCACGCACACAGGCCCTGACACAGGTCAGCTCCTGATCCAGATGGCCATCTTCCCAGGAGCCTCCTGCAGACTCAGACCACTCCACCCTAGCTGCTCAGCTCGGGGCCAGGGCCTCTGCTTCACAGCTATGCGGAGTGCATCTAGAGGGGCTCTGCCACAGCTCCCATCCCCAGTGGGCCTGCCTGCCTCCTCCTCCTCCCCACAGCCTGCCACAGCTGGCCCCCAACCCACTTTTTTTTTGGTCAGTCCTGGGGCTTGAACTCAGGGCCTGAGCGCTGTCCTTGAGCTGCTTTTGCTCAAGGCTAGCATTCTACCACTTGAGCCACAGCACCACTTCCAGCCTATTCCTTTTATGTGGTGCTGAGGAATTGAACCCAGGGCTTCCTGCATGCTAGGCAAGCACTCTACCACTAAGCCACATTTCCAACCAGCCAACTCACTTCTTCTTCTCATCCTCGCTTGGCCTCTGCAGGCCACCATACAGTTCATCAATGTAGATCTGGTACAGGCACTGCTCCTCCGAGACTGTGGCAAGAGGGGACAAGGGGCGAGGGGGTGAGGGTTATTAGGACACAGGGAATTTAGAGACAGGAATATGGTGGAGTTGAGGGGTTGGGGTGGAGTCACCACTTCCTGACCGTCACCCCTCTGCTGGGGCACAAGTAACTACAGCGCAGCCTCAGCTCCATCACTCACTTGCCCTGCGACCCTGAGTTCAGTGACTAAGCCCCATGCCTCAGTTTCCTTTTCTGTAAGATGGGATCTCTGGCACAGTGAGTGCTTGGGGTGTGGGCACTGCCACAGGACCACAGTGCTAAAGAGCTCCTGCTTGCCTAGGTCTCTAGGTCGCTGGGGTCCCCCTCCCCTGCTGGTGAGGCCTCGTAGTCTCGGGGGTCCCCCACTCCCACTCACTGCCCGCGAAGTCGTTCTGCACCAGGCCTCGGTAGCGCTCGTAGTTGCACTTCCGCTCATCCGACTCCTGCTCTGGGGAGCTTGGAGAATCAGAGATCTCCAGGTCAGAGGCAGCAGGCAGGGGGCAGGGGGGGCTGCCGGGACTTGGGGCTAGGAGGGGACAGGCCGAGTGGGCCTCTGGGGAGGCCCCTTACATGGTGGTGAGCAGTGGGGGGGTGTAATCGGGGATGTGGTCCAGGTGGGCGCGGACATCGAAGCGGTCAATCATGTTGTTGGTGTCACCCTGCCAGGGCATCCTGAAACGGAGGGGGGCGGCAGAGGCTTGGAGGGTGCTCTGCACGCACATCACCTGTTGTGGCTGGGAGCCCGGCCTCCGGCCATGATTCCCTCACTGGCTTCAGACACCCACCTAGGCCCAGCTTGCAGACCCTCCTACAGCTGGGCCTAGAGCATGCCACCCGTACTGCCTCAGGAGGAGCCCATTTCTCCAGAATCAATAATGGCAGGGCACTTAAACCAGGTAGGAAGAGCTTGTCTCCTGTGCCTCAGCCCTGCCCCGCCCCTCTAAGTCGGCCTGCCTACTCCACACAGCCTCTGTGACTGTCACCTTCCCCGATACCTCCTCCTGCCAGTGTCCAAAGGTCTGGCCAACCCCAATTCCTCTGCTGCACCCCTCACCCCCTGCTGCAGACGCTGCCTTCCCGCCCCCCCACCCCACCATCTTACATGTTCACAGGGCTCTCGGCAGCCAGGGCCACAGCAGAATCCAGGTGCACTTTGCAGGCTCGGCCATGCACCTGCAGGAACTGAGCTGGGTCCTTCTTCTGTGGGGTGGACAGGACGGAGGTCACCATTAAGCTGAGCTCCTAGTCCTCCAGGCCCCACAAGCAGGCCCAACATCCAGCTAACCTGTGTGGCACAGGCTCCACCTCACAGGTGATTCAACCGTGTGCAGCCAGGATGGCTCAACTAGCCCAACGCAAGGACCACTTCTTCCCTGGAGACGGCTAGTGGCTCTGAGCTCTGCCACCACCATCTTTTTTTTTTTTTGCTAGACCTGGGGCTTGAATTCAGGTCCTAAGCACTGTCCCTGAGCTTCTTTTGCTCAAGGTTAGCACTCTGCCACTTGAGCCACAATGCCACTTCCCGCTTTTTCTGTGTATGTGGTACTGAGGAATGGAACCCAGGGCTTCATGCATGCTAGGCAAGCACTCTACCACTGAGCCACATTCCCAGCCTCTGCCACCATCTTCTGCCTAAAATATCACCCCCAATTCTCACTCACTCGACTCACTTCATCCATCCATCCATCCATCCATCCATCCATCCATCCATCCATCCATCCATCCAGAGCAAGTATAGCACTGGAACTGGAGCAGCCTCCAAGTCAGCAAGCCCGTGTACTCACAAGGGAAAGAGAGCCAATGCCACTGTCACCAGGAAAATGGCAGGCACAGCTATAAGGGACCAACTCTCACCTACTACGCTGGCAAAAATTGAAAGGACAAAACTGGGCACTCGTTGGGTGCTGGTGGCTCACGCCTGTCATCCTAGCTACTCAGGAGGCTGAGATCTGAGGATCGCGGTTCAAAGCCACCCAGGCAGGAAAGTCCATAAGACTCTTATCTCCAATGAACCACCAGAAAACTGGAAGTGGCACTGTGGCTCAAGTGGCAGAGTACTAGCCTTGAGCTGAGAGAGCTGAGGGACAACACCCAGGCCCAAAGGTCAAGCCCCACGACCAATAACAACAACAAAAAGTTGGCTGGCATTTGTTTAATTTTGGTGTCTGTACTGAGTACCAGTGGCTCAGCCTTGTAATCCTAGCTACTGAGGAGGCTGAGATCTAAAGGTTTCAGGAGAGGACCACCACATTCACCCAAAAGTTCTAAAATAAGGGGCTGGGAATGTGGCCTAGTGGTAGAGTGATTGCCTAGCATGCATGAAGCCCTGGGTTCCAGTCCTCAGTACCACATACATAGAAGAAAAAAAAAAAAGCCGGAAATGGTGCTGTGGTTCAAGTGGTAGAGTGCTAGCCTTGAGCAAAAGCAGCTCAGGGACAGTGCCCAGGCCCTGAGTTCAAGCCCCAGAACTGACACACACACAAAAAAAAAGTAACAAAAGTTCTAAAATAATTGTGATGATGGTGCACAGCCTACACAGAAACTGCAGTACACTCCTCCTTCACACTTGTTGGGTTCCCTATTCATTCTACTCGTGCTACTAGGGTCTAAACTCAAGACCTCATGCTACCAAACAGGCACAGGACCATGGAAATGCTCACTTTAAACGAGTGGACTGTGTGGGGTGGGAAGTGTATCTCAGTAGAGCTGCCCAGCCCCGGCTTATCCTAAGTCCACATCCTTACATCGCATAAAGGATGCAAGCTAGGCTGCTCAAGGGCCAGGCCCTGGCTGGAGTCACATCAGAGGAAGCCACAAGAGCCATGGAAGGACTCTGAGACACCCATCAAATCAAGCACCAGTTCCCAGTGACAAAGACGCAGCCCCATCCCTGCCAGCATGGGCCAGTGGAGGAGACTGGTTCCTTTTTGTCAGTCATGGGGCTTGAACTCCGGGTCTAGGCATTGTCCCTGCGCTTTTCTGCTCAAGGCTCTACCACTTTGAGCAAAAACTCCAGTTCTGGTTTTCTGGTGGTTGATTAGAGGTAAGAGTCTCACAGATTTTCCTTCCCCACACTGGCATCAAACAGCAATCCTCAGATCTTCCTTAGCCTCCTGAGTAGTTAGGATTATAGGAGTGAGCCACTGACACCTGGCAACTATTTCTTCTTTTTTCTTTTTTCTTTTTTTTTTTGGGGGGGGGGGGGGGGGTCCAGTCGTGGGGCCTGAACTCTGGGCCTGGGCGCTGTCCCTCAGCTCTTCAGCTCAAGGCTAGCGCTCTACCACTTGAGCCACAGCGCCACTTCCGGCTTTTTTCTTTTTTGCTTATGTGGTGCTGAGGAATCGAACCCAGGGCCTCAGGCATGCAAGGCAAGCACTCTACCACTGAGCCACCTTCCCAGCTCAACTATTTCTTTATCTAACCAATGCACAGGAGCAGTGACAGACGTGGGGCAGCTAATGACCAAGGGTGGGGAACATCCACGGGCACCAAGGCCCAGGCAGGAACAGAGAGAATGGCTGCTCAGATGTCACACTCGCCCAGCCCATCCATGTCCACTGGGTCCAGCACTGTAGCCTCCCCACTCAGCCCCAGAGCAAGATGACAGCCACCACGTGGCTGCCAGCTCCCACGGCTTGGCACAGCACATCTGAATGCCCATCTCGTTCCCAGCCAGAGACACTGGCTGCTTGTTCGGGCCCTGCCACAATGCACTCATAGACTCTCGTGAAGCCCTTCCCGTCCTGTCACCAGCGAGGTGCTGGCACCACCACCGCCCTAAGGAGAAGCAAGCTCAGGAGGCTCCCTGCTACTAAGGAGGAGGGAATTCTGGGGCTTCCCCGGGTCCCAAGTGCAGTCTTCTTTCCTCTTGGTCCCCTCCATTCACATTCACATTCACACACACACACATACACATGGCCTGGAGCTGCACACAATTAAGCAGTAGTGAGGGCAGTAACAAGATCTAACATCATGGTAATTTCAGGCACAGGCACTCTACTATATGCCTAACCAACTCTCTACCAAGCCTTCCAAGAGCTGGTTTCACCCTCTCCAACTGGCCACAAGTCACTTGTGGGCTCACTGCTGGGTTGGCACTTAGCTTGGGCAATTCCCCATCTCCTGAGCCATGCCAATACACAAGGCCCATTTTGGGCTGGGATTGCAAGCACCAGGGAGTTAAGACGGTGTGAGGGGATTACAAGGGCCTCATGCATAAACCCAGGCATGGGGTGTGCTCTTTTCTCCAAAAGCAACTAAAGCACCAGTGAGGAGAGTGGCCTGGTCAGATGACACTCAATCAATCCTGCTGCTGCATGCCAAGCCTCAAGAGTGGCCATGCTCTTTTGAGCACTAGGCACCCAGCAGCGGGCAACAGTGTTCTAGGAGCAGTGAGTCTTACATGTGCACTGCACAGGGTTACAAGTCTTTACTTTCTTCCATTTAACTCCAGACCTGCTCTCTGGGGCCTTGCAAACACAGAGGAACCAGCAACCAATGGAGTCCCCCTCATGCTCTTATCTGACATCGGCCTCCACACAAAGAATGATCATTGTCCCAAGGAAAGAGTGCCTGGTATAAACCCAACTACCCAATTGCTTTTTTTCTTCTTCTTCCTCCTTTCTATGTGTGTGTGCGCATACATGTGTGCCAGTCCTAGGACTTGAACTCTAGGCCTGGGCGTTGTCCTTGAGCTTTTTTACAAGCTCAAAGTTAGCACTGTACCACTTGAGCCACAACTCGACTTCTGGCTTTTGCATGGTTGACTGGAGATTGTAAGTCTCAAGGAATTTCCTGCTCCTGCTGACTTCCCACTGTGATCCTCACTCGAATCTCAACTTCTTGAGTAGCTAGGATTACAAGTGTGAGCCACTTGGTGCCCTGCTCAATTTTTTTTTTTTTCATTTTTATTTTGCAATACTGGGGATAGACCCAGAGCCTTGAACTTGCTCGGCAAATGTTCTACTCTCTGAGCTGTTTCCCTGGCTTTTCCCTTTTGCTTTCCCTTTTGTTTTGCAGATAGGGATTTGGACTTAACTTTGTTTGGGCTGCCCCTGTACCCTGAACCTATGGTCTCAAGAGCCTCGCCTTCACCTCCCTAATAGGGATTATAGATTTGTGCCACCCCATGTGGCCTCCAAACCCCAATCCTATCTTGATGACTGCTTTCTGAAGGGCAGCTCCCCTCCCCCAACCCAGACAAAAAGCTTGGTCACTCACAATTTTCTCATAGTACTCCCTACGCCGCTCGGCCCTCTTCTTGTAGTCCACCATCATACCGCGAAGCTTGCGCTCATGCTTCCGAGCTTCGTGCCACATGGTGGTGGTGGTGGTGTTGGTGGTGAAGCCAAGCGTGGCGCACCAACCTGAGGGATGAGGGGAAGGGCAGTGTCCGATGGGCAGCAAAAACCAAAAGGGTGGGCCTGGGTCAATTAACAAGCCTGGTGACTGAGCCTCTCGGTTGAGGGAAGAAGGAAGTCCTTTGCAGAAGCAAAGAATATAATTCATGGGTAACCCAGACCACTAACTGTACTCTTCACGGGAAGCCAAGGCATTCTGGGGTGCGCACATGCCCCAGATTGCAGGCGCTGGAGTCCCAATCAATCCCTTCTGGGAAGGGAGGAGGAGGCACACCCAAGGGCAGCTCGGGCCGAAACTCGCCCAAAGGGAAAAACGGAAAAGGCTTTCCCCCAACCCGAGTGATCCTCCAGGGAGGATCCCAGGCGAACCTCCTGGGACCCCCCCCCCCCGCGGCCGTATAGAGGCGGAGTCGAGGGCAGGTGAAGGGCGTGGATAGAAGCGAGGGGGGGGGTCTTGGGGCGCACTTGAAGTCTACATGGATGGCCCCGAAGCAAGGAGAGTATCCAGGGAACAGTGGGGTACCGCGCGGAGGCGGAGCGGAGTGCGTCCCGAGGGGCAGGGGGAGAAGCTGAGGGTCTGGACAGGGCTGGAGCACCTGGTCAGGGCCGAGGCCGACGGCGCGAATCGGGCCCTCCGCGGCGCGGCCCGAGGCCTGTCGGGAACGAAGGGGGTGCAGGCGGGCCGGCTTCGGGACCAGGGCCCCGCGGACCGCACCGCGGGAGAACCCGCGACGAGAGCCAAGCGGCTCTGACGCAGCCCAACAAACGGGAGGTCCGGGCCCGACGCCTGCACTCACCGGCTGGCTGGTCGCCGCCGCCTCCTACTGCTGCGCTCGCTCCCCCGCGCTCACGCGCGCGCGCGCTCGCTCTCTTAGCCCACACCGGAAGCGGAAGTTGGAGGCCGCGCGAAAAGGGAGGGGGGGAGGGCGGCACGGCCAGAGCTTCCGACGGCGTGAGGGCGTGGCCTAAAAGACAGCGATGATGACGTCCTCGGGCCTGCGCGGCGGGAGGGCGTGGCCTGTGCCTGGAGCGGGCGTGGCCTGTGCCTGGAGTGGGCGTGGCGCGTTCCGGAAGGAGCGTCGGAGCCTTGCTGACCCCCGGACCTTGTTCCTCGTCCCCCCCCCACCCCGCCCCCCCGCCACACACACGCCCCATGCAAAGAGAGGCCCCCCCCCAAGGTTCAAAAACTCCTCTTTATTGAGAAGGCTCTGCACAAACAACCTCCTCTCACCCGCAAGGGTGCCAAGGAGTTTCCCTCTCCTCCCCTAAGAACAATCTGTCACAATCCGGGGGCCCCTCCCAAAGGTGGCCACGTGTGTGTGGGGTCGCTGGGGGAGCCATGCCCCCCCCTTAGCCTCCTCCAACCCGATTTCTCATATAAAACGGAGGCCCGAGGGGAGCCCGTGTTCCCGAGGCTGTCGCCAGCGCTGCAGATGTCCGTCCGACGCACTGGGATGAGGAGACCGGAAGACTGACCCGAGGGGGGCCCAGGTCTGACCCCCCCATCCCTCCCGGCACTGCCAGGGCTACGTGGCCTCGGGCCCCGGGGACAGGAGGCCACCCCCGAAGGCTGCCTCGCGGTACTGGTTGGGAAACATATTGCTGCCCACAAGGCTGGCGGTGCCTCCGTCCCCGAGGCCCGGGGCCGGGTACGAGTCCAGGGTCAGGGGCTCGGGATCCGGGGACTCGGCCACCGAGGGCCCGGCACCCGCGCTGCTGGACACGGCGCTGGCCAGGGGCGGCGCTGGGGGCAGCAGGTCCAGCATGGTGAAGAGGGTGGGGGCTGTGGGGTCGTAGGTGAAGTCTTCCATGAGGTCAGGACCCCCGGGGGGCTCCAGGCCTGGCAAGGACACCGAGCTGGGGAAGAAGTCGTTGTCAGGCTGCAGGATGGAGGGAGGGAGGAACAGGCCTGCGGGGAGAAGGGGAGAGAAAGCTAGCTCTGGTTTCTGGAGCAACTTCCAGCCAGGCCCCCTCTGGCCTCAGGCTAAATGCCTCATCAGATCATCTCCTTCCGTTCCAGCTGAGGACTGTCATCCCACCTTTCCTACTAAGTAAGTGGAAGAAGGCAGTGGGGAAAATAACTGCACACAGCTGTCCTAATGTGGAACCAGGAGGGAAACGTGTGTGCACATGCTCTATCATTTGGACCCACAGCTCCACTTCCGGGCTTTGGGTTGTTTTTTTTGTTTTTTTTTTTGAGTGGTTAATTGGAGAAAAAGAGTATCTCAGGGACTTTTCTGCCCGGGCTGGTTCCAAACCCCCATCCTCAGATCTCAGCCTCCTGAGTAGCTAGGATTAAAGCATGAGCCACGATAGAGGGGCGCTGGTGGCTCTCGCCTGTAATCCTAGCTACGCAGGAGGCTGAGATCTGAGGATCGCGGTTCAGTCCGGGCAGGAGAGACTGTGAGACTCCTATCTCCAATAAAACCACCAGAAAACCGTAAGTGGCGCTGTAGCTCAAGTGGTAGAGCGCTCACCTCGAGCTGAAGGACAGCGCCCAGGCCCAGAGTTCAAGCCCCACGACTGACCAAAAAAAAAAAAAAAAAACATGAGCCACGAGTGCCCCGCTAGCATTACATTTATTAAAAAGTGTTTTGGGGGGCTGGGAAGGTGGCTCAGTGGTAGAGTGCTTGCCTTGCATGCATGAGGCCCTGGGTTTGATTCCTCAGCACCACATAAGCAGAAAAAGCAGGAAGTGGCACTGTGGCTTGAGTGGTAGAGCACCCGCCTTGAGCTGAAGAGCTCAGGGACAGCGCCCAGGCCCAGAGTTCAAGCCCCACGACCGACCAAAAAAAAAAAAAGTTCTGGGAGCTGAGAATATGACTTAGTGATAGAGTGATTACCTAGCATGTGTGAAGCCCTGGGTTTAATTCCACAGTACCACATACACAGAAAAAGCCAGAAGTGGCGTTGTGGCTCAAGTGGTGGAGTGCTAGCCTTAAGCAAAAAGAAGCTCAGGGACAGTACCCAGTCCCTGAGTTCAAGCCCCAGGACTAGCAAAAAAAAAAAAAAAGTTTTTGGAGCCAGGTATCAATAGCTCACACCTATGATCCTAGCTACTCAAGAGGTGGGTTCTTGAGGATTGAAGTTTGGAGCCAATCTGGACAGGGAAGCCCATGAGACCCTCATCTCCAATTAACTACCAAAACAAACAAAAAGAAAAAATTGGAAGTAGAGCTGTGGCTCAAGTAGTAAAGCACCAGTCTTGAACAAAAAAGCTCAAGAGACAGTACCTGGGCCCTGAGTTCAAGCACCAAGACTGGCAAAAGAAAAAATTTAAGCCAACTGCAAAAAGAGAGAAAGTAAAAAAGAAAGAAAAGTAAAGGCTGGAAGTGTGGTTCAAGTTGTAGAACAGCAACAACAAAAAAGCATATATCACCCAGTATTCCTGAGCAGTCTCCCATTTATGCACTAGTCAGGTATGACCCTACTTAGTTCCTGAAATCATGTAAGATCAAGATGTCTGGTGGGGATGGTATGGGCACTTACTGCATTAAACTGTAAAAGCCCCAGGACACAGGTATACACTGAGATTTCCCCAAGTTGTCCCTGAGGCTCAGAGTGGTACACCAGGTTGACAAAGGTTACACTACAAGTGGACAGCCCAGCAGACATCACACACATATCTTTCTACTCTGCGGAGCTGGGAGCCGTCCTTAACACATTGTAAAGAGACCAACAAAGCAGGGCTGCCACTTAGTCTCAGCTCATGGCAGGGGATTGGGACCTACCTGAGCTATGGCCAGGCAGGAAGTGGTCCAGGAAGGCTGGCTTCTTCTTCCTCCGTTTACTCTCAATGCCATGGGGGTCTGAGGGAGGCAGAGGAGATGACCCCTTAACTCCCAGAGCTCCCCCTCTGTGGGATGGTATTAAGGGGGGGTTTCCCACATACACTCCCAAGGACTTAAGTGTGGAAAGGGGTCCAGGGGACAGACCAGAACTGCTCAGCTCCCCAAGGACGTCTGGCATTCCCCGTTTCCGCTTTTTGTCCACGCCATAACTGTCTGTTGGAAGATATCAGAAGCATACAAAAAAGTAATTAATCAGCTAGGCACCAGTGGCTCCTGCCTGTCATCCTAGCTACTCAGGAAGCTGAGATCTGAGGATCTCGGTTCAAAGCCAGCCCAAGCAGGAAAATGTAAGACTCTTATCTCCTATAAATCATCAGAAAACCGTAAGTGGTGCTCTGGCTCAAATGGTAGAGCACTAATCTTAAGCAAAAGAGCTCAGGGACAGAGTCCAGGCCCTGAATTCAAGCCATACAGCCAACAAAATAATGATCACTTAACCATTTATCACAGTCAGTAACTGATGGTTAATCATAGAGCCATCTAGAAAGTGGCTGAGCTTTTTCTCTCTCTCTCATTATGGGGCTTGAACTCTGGACCTGGGCACTGTCCCTTGAGCTTTTCAGCTCAAGGAAAGCACTTTTACCACTTGAGCCACAGCACCACTTCCAGTTTTCTAGTGGTTTACTGGAGGTAAGAGTCTCATAGACTTTCCTGCTTGGGCTGGCTTTAAGCCTCGATCCTCAGATCTCAGCCTCCTGAGTACCTAGGATTACAGGCATGAGCCATTGGTGCTCGGCTGCCTTTTTTTTTTTAGTCAAGATTTTGCTATGTAGCCCAAGCTGGCCTTGGAACCAAAGACCCTCTCTCCTTCCATAACTTCAAGAGTGCTGGGATTACAGGTGGGTACCACTATACCCCAACTGCACTTGTACCTACCCAACCGATGCAAATAAACAGATGTTGATAGTCCATATCAGATAAAACCAAATTCCCTTCCAGACACACCTGAGCACAATATTATCTCAGGACACTCGCACTTGCTTTTCAAGCTACTTAAAATACCCTCCTTCAGCCGGGCGCTGGTGGCTCACGCCTGTCATCCTAGCTACTCAGGAGGCTGAGATCTGAGGATCGCAGTTCAAAGCCAGCCCGGGCAGGAAAGACCGTGAGAGACTCCTATCTCCAATAAACCACCACAAAACCGGAAGTGGCGCTGTAGCTCAAGTGGTAGAGCGCTCGCCTTGAGCTGAAGAGCTGAGGGACAGCACTCAGGCCCAGAGTTCAAGCACCATGACCGACAAAAAAAAATACCCTCCTTCAACTCTCACTAGACCTCTTAGTCATTCTCCTTTCTTCAGCTCAGCTGTCCCCTCTACCAAGTAGCCTCCCTGATTTGCACCCAGGATCAAATGACTCGAGCTGAATTTCTTCAGCTGGTCTGGGGCTGGTGGGCTGGTTGTCATGGTTACCGTGGTCCCGAGGCAGGTAGGTGAAGGGCAGAGGCTCGCTGCAGACACCATCTGTGAGCCGCTGCAGGAAGACATTGACTGTGACGGGCTCTGAGATCTCCAGGTCCTCGTAGGGAGGGGTCTTGAACACAATGGCGATCTGCCGGTGCACATCGGCTTGGGAGAAGTCGGCCCGGCCCTCCCAGGAGACTGTGCTGAACACCACAGAAATGTCCTCTGTGGGAGGACAGGGCAGTGGCTGAGGGGGGGTCCTCAGCCAGCCCGAACCCCACTCAGCATCCTCCAAACAGACCCCACTATTCCCGAGGATAAAACCACACTCTTGCCGGGCACTGGCACCTCTCACACCTGTCACCCCAGCGACTCCAGAGGCTGAGATCTGAGGATGGAGGTTCAAAGCCAGCTCGGGCAGGAAAGTCTATGAGACGCTTATGTCCAATGAACCACCAGAAAACCACAAGTAGTGCTGTGGCTCAAAGTAGTAGAGCGCTACCCTTAAGCAAAAAGAGCTCAGGGACAGTACCCAGTCCCTAAGTTCAAGCCCTATGACCAGCAAAAAGCAAAACAAAAAACAAACCTACACTCT